TAGAAGAAAGAAGATGACTTCATTTTGGACATGATGAGTGTGGAGTGCCTTTGTTTTGTTTTGATTGTTTTTTTGAGACAAGTCTCCCTCTGTCGCCAGGCGGGAGTGCAGTGGCCTGATCTCGGCTCACTGCAACCTGCAACCTCCGCCTCCTGGGTTCAGGCGATTATCCTGCCTCAGCATCCCAAGTAGCTGAGACTACAGACACACACCACCACGCACAGCTAATTTTTGTATTTTTAGTAGAGACAGGGTTTCACCATGTTGGCCAGGATGGTCTGGATCTGTCGACTTTGTGATCCGCCCGTCTTGGTCTCCCAAAGTGCTGGGATTACAGGCGTGAGCTACCACGGCAGCCTGGAGTACCTTTCATAAGCTGCAGGTGAAGACGTCCAGTGCACAGTTGGAGCCATGAGTACGAAGGTCTGAGGATGGTGATCTAAACTGGAAGAGGTGTTCAGGGGAATCAGCAGCAACGGCTGACTGTGGTTGAAAACTGAAAGAGGATATAATCACCAAAGAAGACCATGGAGAGAGAAAAGAACAGAGACTCTCTGGAAGGAAGGGCAGAAGAGGAGGGAGAGCGAACCCTTGAAAAGGCAGACAGGAAGGAGGAGCCAGAGAAATAAAAGGAGAACAAGGAGCGTGTAGTGTCATAGATCCTGTGTCAATAAACTAATAGGGAAGAAGGCAGATTAAATATTTGAGGCATGGAGTCAGAAAGGAAGAAGGGGAGACAGCTAATATAACACTCTTTAGAGAAGTTTCGATCCCATGGGTAGGTGAGCAGATAGCTGCTAGATGGATATGTAAAGTGATGTAAAGACATGTTTAGAGTTTTCTTCCTTTTGTTTTTTGAGGTTGGGAGAGAGTGGAACACTTATTTGTGGAGGGAAAGGAGCCAGGAGAAGAGTTTGAATATACAGGGAAGAGAGAGATCCCAGAGGGGAGGGAAGAGATTGGGATTGGTGTCCAGATGGAGGGATTACAAACAGAAAAAAGGGAATTTACTCTCATTATTGATTCATGGTTGCGTCATTCTTTCAGTCTCAGAGGTAACTGACGAGAGTCCTAAGCAGTATCTGGCTTGGTATTTTCTCCACGAAACTATTTTGCCAATGGATTGAATTGTCAAAAGATATCAAAAAGTTAGATATTTTAAATATAAAGGTGTTTGTGAGGATTAAAAAATATATACTTTTATACTTGCTTTCAAACCTTTCTGAAAACCAGAGTTTTCAAGGATAAACCTATTTATGTTGCAGTTCTCAGAATTCTGTGACTCCAGAGTTCCAGCCCACTAGGCCTAAAGTACAAGGTTAGCTCAGTTGTTATAATAAAAAATCTTAGGTATTTATCCATTTGAGAAAAAAGGGGAACTGCTTAAGGAAAAGGCAGTGGTGCCCAGGCATACTGTTTGATTGGTTAGGTTCAGAGTAAAAAAAACAACACTCAGTTGCCTATGTGGCTGGAAGGAAATAACTCAAGGCAGCAAAGTGATCATTTTTATTCTCAATAATCACATTTATGAAAAATTTTCACTCTATTGGCTTGTTTAATCTTTACAAAAGTCCTTTGATATGGGAGGGACAAATTTTTGTCTCTAAAATCAATGCCAGTAAAATACTGGGCATTGTTTGGAATTGTAGAAAACAAAAAAATAATAAAAAGCACTATTTTCTTCTCACCCCGTCTTGATATTTGTACCCAAGAAACTCCCTACAATTCTAGTTATTGTGCTTAAAGACCTAATAGAATTGGAGAAAATTCAAAATAATACTAGTTCAATTCAGAAAGTATATTTTTTTAGTGCCAAATCTGCACCATTTACTGTCTTACAATATCCTGCAAAGAACATGACCCACTGCTGCCCCTCAGTGAGCTTGTAATGTAGAAGGGGAGGAAGACTTGTAAATAAGTGATTATAATGTGAGATAAAGGCAGCAGCGAAGGTCTGCAGTGTACAGAGGTAGCAGAGAAAAGGGTCAGAAACCACTTCCCAAAGGATGGGATAAGTGAACCAGGCTTTAAAGGATGATAGGATTTCATCAGGTGGACAAGGGACCAATGTTATTAGCAAGAGAAGGAAATGTTCATATATACCTTAGAGGTGTGAACTATCTTGGTGTATTTAGTGAATTATAAGTAGCTCGGCGTTACTGAAACAACATTGTAAGTGGTTGAATATGAAGCTAGCGTTTTACAGGGACTAATTAATTCGTCAGCAACACAGATTCATGGTTTATGATGATCACTCTGGAGGGTGATGTTGCTGGCAGGGGAGATACCAGCTAAGAGGCTCCAGAAAGACATCCAGACAGGGTATGATAAGGACCTGAATTGAACAGAGGACTGTTAGGGATGAGGAGAAGTCAGATATGAGAGAGGAATAAATGAGATAAAACATCTTGATTAAATAATTAATTCATTGTGGAGTAATGGAAGAAGAAATTGTTAAAGTGGACAGGCCTGGGGGAGCTTCTGCTTTGTAAAGAAAAGTTAAACTAAAGATATTTCAGTCTGGGGAGGTAGAGGCTGAGAACCAATAAAGTAAAATTCCCATTTTGAAGTCTGTCAATTGAATATGGACTGGATTATCAGTGACAGCTAGAACTAATGGTCACCCCTCACACATGGAAAAGGTAAATATGGGATCGACAAGTGCTTTATTCATAAAGCAAGCATTACGTTTATGGAAATGTAGGTCCTAATTCCCCCCAAGATAAATGTATTCAATGTAGTTTAAGTTAACTATAAAAAGACAAGTTTACCTTATTATTGAGAAATCAGGTTGTTCTGCCTGAATGTGAAGCTGATATTTTGAAGGTGAATCTAGCCATCTGTTTCCTAATTCTTTAGTAGATAAACAGCAGTGGATGGTCCATAGGTTTAGATCCAAAATTAAAATGTTTGCAGGTAAACATCCTAGCAAGTGATTACAGAAGCAATGAAAAGTAGCTCAGTGTTAGTGAAACACTGTTGTAAGTGGTTGAGTATGGGGCTTGAGTTTTACAGGTACTAATTAATTGATCAGCAATGTAGATTCATGGTATCAATTTTTAGAGTGTGATATTCTGGAAGAGTGGTTCTCTAACTGAAAAGTCTCACTCTTTATAGTCTTAAAACTGAAATAACTTGTATTTATGTAGTTTACCTCGGTTGACACTATTAGAAATTAAAACTGAGAAAAATAATCATTAATTCATTTTAGAATAAAAATATTTATACATCACGTATTAATATAACTATTTTCCAGAGGAAAAAAATAGCCAGAAGAGCAGAATTGCTTTACATTTGTGCAAATCTCTTTAGTTAGCTTAATAGAAGACAGCTGGGTTCTCTTATATGTCTGCTTCAACATTTGGTCTATTGCAATATCATGCATTACATAACTCCTGAAAAAATACCATATATTCGAGAGAAAAGAGAGTGAAAGTTATTATGCAAATGGTTCTGACTTTTAGGATCCACTGACAATAGCAGTTTGAAACAAATTTTTGTTTCATACACAAATAAGGTATTACTTTACCCCTACTCTACCCTTTTTGGAAGTCCATCGTCCTAAGAATATTTTCACCGTGATTCTCTGGCCTTGTCGTACACTTGTAAAGGTTGTAAAGGCCTGTGATCTATCTACAGATGGATGAGTTCAAGTGCAAGGCAGAATTTGTTAGCCTCCTATGACCTTTTACCCTTCCCAACCTAATGAAGCATAGGTTCATCTAGCCTTGTTACCTCTCTTCTTCTTCATAACTTCTCATTTTATTTATAAGTAATAAAGTTCAAACAAATTTTTCTTTGAACTGTAGTCTGAGGAGGGGAGGAGTAAGACTATAGTTGTGGCCCTTTCTTTGTATCTTGGAAGACGTAGTAGAGGGAAGGGAAACCTGGAGTTTAAAAACTCCTTCAAAATATGATCATAGACACTGAAGACCACTTCCTGGAGGCCTGCCTAGAATTGCAAAGAATAATTATCTCTAGAAAATACTAACACTTCAGGATTGATTTCTGCTTTGGAAATACATGAGCCTAGAAGTAGTCTCTTGAGTTTCTGCACCTTTTGTTTCAGATGCACCCTTGGGCTTCTCTCTTTCCTTTCCCATCCTGCTCCATCAATACCAACTTCATCTGATTCCAGATACAGAGTGATGTGTCTGTGGCATAAGAACCAAGTCTTTGTTTTCTTTAAGATATCACTAGACTGTCCCCATTCCCACTGCCACCACCCACTTCTGTAATCCCTATTTAATAGCCTATTGGACTTTTGACTTGAGACTCCTTTTTTCTATCCATTCTGATTAATTTTTCGCACACATTGCTAATATCAGGACATGCCTTTTCTCAGAAATCTTCAGTGATGCCTTAATTTGTACCATGATGTAAATCTGTTTTATCTGTATTCTCCTTCAGCTTTCCCATAAACTCTTAATCTGAAATATTTTGCAGTAGTCCTGGCTGTTTCCTCACAATCCTGTGAATGCAAGCTTTGCATTTCTTACCTCTGTGCTTGTCTTCATGTTATTCTTTTCACTTGGAATGTTCTGTTCTCTTCCACCACCACCCCCATCTAAATCCAGTGGATTCTTCAAAAGCTAATTCAAAACCAGTTCCTGTAAATGGTTTTTACCTGATTAGTTGGAATTTATTTGTTTCCCTCTCCTTTGATATACAATAGTATTTAAAGTTTGTATCACGCAGTTTAGTATGTAATTATATACCATTGTTTATTTTTGTTTCATATCTTAAGTTTTATCTACAAATAGATAAGTTTCTCATGAACCTGTTTAGAATTTAATTCTGGGAAAGACCAGACTCCGTAAATTGGGCAGCTGCCCAGTGTTTTTTCCAAAATTATTCATTAAATTATCTTCATGCTGGTTAAGTTAGGTTGGTCTTATTCAAGCAAGTGTTCAAGTCTAATAAGTAATATCTAGTGTAATGTTACTTCTAAGTGTTATTTTCATGCACTTATTCTGAGTTTCTCAAACTTTATCTTATAGCTATTTCTGCATTTGAAGTTCAGCCAATTTCCACTGAGGTCCATGAAGGTGGAGTTGCTCGATTTGCATGCAAGATTTCATCCAACCCTCCTGCAGTTATAACATGGGAGTTCAATCGGACAGTTCTACCTATAACTGTGGACAGGTAGATGTAGATTTTGTCTTTGGAGAAGATATGGGAGTAATGAAGACTTCATATGAGGTTATATAGGGAGAAACACCATTATAGGCCTCATTTTTATTTAGGCAGTAATAACTGATTGCTTAAGACATTTCAAACTTAGCCAGAGAATTAGATCATCAGTCTCTGGCACATGGGGCATGGTTTAGATCAGAATTTAAATAGATTATCCTACTGCCTTGATCCTTTCCTCAACCATCTGTTCTAACCATGAGTATCTGGACTGCAGCCCAAGGTTTTAGGAAACCAAATGACACTCTTATTGCTGGGAAGGGCAGTGCTGGTGTAAGGGTCTTTCATGTATGCCCTGGTAGCTGCCCACTCCTGTCTCTGCCTTCCACTTCCCAACCCCCTCTTCACTACAAATGCACGCACGCGCACATGCACACATCTAGTGTTCTGAGGGTGGTTGGGATTTAAAAATCAAGAACTTGATAGCAACTCCAAAAAATTTGATTCCTGCCCTGCTCCTGAGTAGGCAAACATTTGCTAACATGGTAAAGCACTAAGATGGAATAAGTTATTCATGGAAGTGCTTTATTAAAAAAACAAAAAAAGAGCATATCTATATATGTCTTGGACAATATGTGGATATTAATAGGTAAAAAATTCAGGAATTTGAAAAAAATTACACTAAACTCTGGGCCACCAGTTAGCTAAATCTATGCTAGAATGTCAAATGAGACTCTGTAAAATTCGACTGATAGATTGCGCAAACCATGTCATGCTGGATTGTTTTATGTTTTAGAGAGCTTTAGTGACCCAAATGAAAACAAGAGAATCAAGCTAAAGGTCTTTAAAGTATTGCTTCTAGCACTGTAAAAAGGTTGAGTGTATTAATTCCTATCACAGAATATGTTAAATAAAATATAAAATCTAGGCCCAGCACAGTGGCTCATGCCTGTAATTCCAGCACTTTGGGAGGCCGAGGCAGGCAGATCACTTGAGGTCAGAAATTCAAGACCAGCCTGGTCATCATGGTGAAACCCTCTCTCTACTAAAAATACAAAAATTAGCCGGGCATGGTGGCGTGCCTGTAATCCCAGCTACTTGGTAGGCTGAAGCAGGAGAATAGCTTGAACCCTGGAGACAGAGGTTCCAGTGAGCCGAGATCACGCCATTGCACTCCAGCCAGGGCAACAAGAGCTAAATTCGATCTCAAAAATAGAATAGAATAGAATAGAATAGAATAGAATAGAATAGAATAGAATAGAATAGAATAAAATAATCTACAAGAAGTTTAGTTATCTTTCTCTCATAACAGGATAACCGCCCTACCAACAGGAGTATTGCAGATCTATGATGTCAGCCAAAGGGATTCTGGAAATTATCGTTGTGTTGCTGCCACCGTGGCCCACCGACGCAAAAGCATGGAGGCCTCGCTAACTGTGATTCCAGGTACCTACCATGCAGGGTGGCTTTTTCCATTTTTATGATGTTTTATTGGCACAGTTACTACTTTTTCTCCTCTGCTGTAATAATGTGCTATAAAGTAGAATTTCATTTAAATTATTATAATCTATTTGGAAAATGGTTATTTTCAGTTATTAAGCAACTCTTCTTTCATAGGCCAGTTTTCTATGTTACGTCAACGTCTTTAAGAAGTATTCAGTCTTAAGAAAGATTAACAAATATTCAGTCTTTGGTATTCTATTCAATACCAAAATTCACTGATGCTCAGGTCCCTTATTGAAAATGGCATGGCATTTTCATTCACCTAAATACCCTCCTTTATACTTTAAATCATCTCTAGATTACTTATAATACCTAATAATATAAATTCTGTATAAATCATTGTTATATTGTATTTTAAAATGTGTATGTTTTTATTTTTTATTTAAAAAAATATTTTCAACCTTGAGTTGGTTGAATTTACAGATGTGCAACCCGCAGATACTGAGGGCTGGCTCTATTTCACTTTTGTTTTAAAAGGTGTAAAATACAGAAGGCACAAAAAAGAGAGTAACAGTCATCCATTTCTACCAGAATTGCCTAATGTGGAAAAAGATATGTTTGTTTCTAGTTGTATTATTTTGCTTGTCATTGAAAGAAATACCATAATTTGCATTTGTAAAAATGATACGTGCATTTTATAAAAAGTAATGTTTATGAAAATAGAAAATATAAAACTTCTATATTAAACAATTTTTTAAAACACAAAAATAAAAGTTAAAAAATATCCTCAGTCTCAATGCAAAAATTATCATTGTTAATATTAAGCAAACATAATTTTATATATTTTGCTATATATTAATATAGGTAGAAGGGAAACTAGAGAGATGCATATAAAGAAATAGGTATTTCCTTAAAATGCAATAGATGATAGTTTTTATTTTAAAGGTTAAGTTTATTTAAATGTAGCGGAAGAAGACCTGGACTGAAGACATTGTTGAACTTCATATAAGTGTTTACTCTTCACAAGAGATACTGGTTTCTAACAGATCCTTTAAGACTGTAAAAGAATAAATTTTGAAAAACATAAAGAGGCTGAAGTTATGTATTTATGCTATGCTTTAGTTCTAGGTAAATAAATTTTAGATAATTAAATTATATAAGTGAATGCTTGAACCTCAATTAGAAGTAATGCTATGGAAAATAACCTAAATGTCCATCAACTGATGGATAAATAAAATGTGTTCTATCTATACAATGATATACATTGCTCAATAAAAAGGAATGAAGTACTTATGCATGTAACAACGTGGGTGAACCTTGAAAACATTATGCTAAGTGAAAAGAAGCCATTCACAAAAGACCACATAATATATGGTTCCATTTATACGAAATGTCTAGAATAGGCAAATCCAGAGAGACTAAAAGTAAATTAGTGGTTACTAGGCTGTGGAGAGAAGAAGAAATTGGGAGTGACTGCTAATGGGTTTGGGATTGTTTTGGAGAGTGATAAAAATGTTCTAAAATTAATTGTGGTAGTAGTTGTACAACTCTGAAAACTCGAAAAACCACTAAATTATATACTTCAAATGGATGAATTGTATCGTATGTGAGTTATATCTCAATAAAGTTGTTTTAAAAAAAGAAAAGTGAGTGATGAGAATAAATGTCCTACTAATTTCACTTATTATATCTTATTTATAATTTATTTTTATATTCTGTCTTTTCCTCCCCAAAGCTAAGGAGTCTAAATCCTTCCACACACCAACAATTATAGCAGGTCCACAGAACATAACAGCGTCTCTTCATCAGACTGTAGTTTTGGAATGCATGGCCATAGGAAATCCCAAACCAATCATTTCTTGGAGCCGCCTTGGTAAGACTTCTCAGGAAAAACAAAACAAAAAGTCTTTTCCTTAAATTTTGTTCATTCTAATGAAATTTATAAGATGTTTATTTGATATACAAAAACACAGGTTTGGCTATTGAATGTCTTATTTTTTTGCCTTTTCAGTGTATACAGAAAAGGTCTTAACATAGAGAATTTTATACTTAATTTTATACTTTCCATGATTGATTGCTTGGATAGTGGTCTTTTGACATAATTTCAGATTATCTGTTACATTGTTTTAACTGAAGTATTCTCCTTGAAATAGATCACAAATCCATTGATGTCTTTAATACTCGGGTACTTGGAAATGGTAATCTCATGATATCTGATGTCAGGCTACAACATGCTGGAGTATATGTTTGTCGGGCCACTACCCCTGGCACACGCAACTTTACAGTTGCTATGGCAACTTTAACTGTATTAGGTATGTTCCTTTCATTCTGCAATCAGGGGAATCTTACATTTTAACGTTTGCCATTTTATCTCATTCATAGCTTACTACTGTCTTTCTTGAGCTTTGTAGCATTGATGTGAAGTATGGTAATCCGATGATGAATTTCAGGAAAAAAAAGTATTTATGTTAAAATATAACTGTAGAATCATTCTGAGGTCACCATTCTGTTTACGTGCGTACCATTATATTTCTTCTTCTTTAAGCTTCCCTTCTGTCTCCATCACACCTACACACATACCCATGTACCTATTTGCCAATTTAAAAATTTAATCTCTTGATTATAGCCACTTGCACTGCATTCGCAAGTGGCAATATATTTTCTTAGTTAAGAAGGATGATAGGTACATATATTTTAAATGTGTCTATATAGATGCTCTGAATAGGGAAATCGTGGAGAAAGTGAACACTGAGCAGTGCCGAGAAAAGGCGCCTGGAGTGATGCATGAAGATGTAGATAGGAGCTCAGCGTGTCAGCCATCTTCAGGAATGGGACTTGTTTCATTTACTGTTTTCTTCCTTGACTCTTTACATCATTCCTATTAGGATCACAGAAATATTTCGTTTTTTTCTTTAAAAATAGCTCCTCCTTCATTTGTTGAATGGCCAGAAAGTTTAACAAGGCCTCGAGCTGGCACTGCTCGATTTGTGTGTCAGGCAGAAGGAATACCCTCTCCCAAGATGTCATGGTTGAAAAATGGAAGGAAGATACATTCAAATGGTAGAATTAAAATGTACAACAGGTAGGCTGTGTCACTTTGCTACCATTTTATATATGACATAATGGCTTTAGTAATTTTTATGTGAAATGGTTATAATTATATCAAATACCTAAATTATCTTGATAGTTATTAACAAAATGAAACTAAACTAAGAAATTAAGATTTATAACATTAGCATGTCATACATGTGCTATGCTAAATACTCATGAGTATTTTATACATGTATCATGAAAGTGGTAGGTGATAATAAAATGAATGTTACACAGTTCCCCAAACTCCAGGGTTCTTGTGCTGTTAAGCCACTAGTTAAGTTAGCACAAGAAAGCATATTAGCTCTTTGGGGTCTTAGTTCCTTCTTCCAAACAATGAGAAAATTAGAAGAAATAATTCTCTAATAATTTCTCCATAGTTAATGATTTTAAGAATTCATTTTTATTAGCATAAATACGAATTATTGTAACATTCTCATTTGTGTTGAACAAAGCTTAAACATTTTGTTGACCTGTATTTTATGTGCACATTATAATATTCTGTAAATTAGATGCTATTCAAGTAATATAAATTCTTAATAAGAGCCACATTTTAAAAAATAAGTTGTTACCTAAAGCAAAGAGCATTTGAATATCACAAATTCTAATGCAGACTCAAAAATGAGTAATTTTAAGTAATTAATGTAGAATATTTTTCACTGGGACAGATTACATATTTTTTTTTGGTAGGTCAGTAACTTTTATCATCTGAAATGAGACTATATAAGCCAGGCATGGTGGCTTTTGCCAGTAATTCCAGTGCTTTGGGAGGCCAAGGTGGGAAGATCACTTGAGCCCAGGAGTTTTAAGACCAACCTGGGCTGAACATAGTGAGACCTTGTCTCTACAAAAAAATTACAGAAAGTTTAAAAAGTACACATGCCTGGAGTCCCAGCTACTCAGGAGGATGAGTCAAGAGGGCGAAAGGATTATTTGAGCCCAGGAGTTTGGGGCTGCAGTGAGCTGTGACTGTGACACTGCACTTCAGCCTGGTTTACAGAGTGAGACCGTCTCTTTAAAACAACAACAACAAAAAGAAAATGACAAAAACAAAAACACACCAAAAAGTCTTCAGGATTCCACATAGTTGCTGCAGGGTTCTACAAATGCTTGATTTTAATTTTAATTTTAAAATAAAATAAGATGAGAGTATATTTAGCAATAGCTAAACTTTATTTTGAATTCATTCTTAGAATTTTTCGTGGAAATAATTTTTTTTCTTTCCCCAGTAAATTGGTAATTAACCAGATTATTCCTGAAGATGATGCTATTTATCAGTGCATGGCTGAGAATAGCCAAGGATCTATTTTATCTAGAGCCAGACTGACTGTAGTGATGTCAGAAGACAGACCCAGTGCTCCCTATAATGTGCATGCTGAAACCATGTCAAGCTCAGCCATTCTTTTAGCTTGGGAGAGGCCACTTTATAATTCAGACAAAGTCATCGCCTATTCTGTACATTACATGAAAGCAGAAGGTAAGTAATATTAGGAGTGCTTATTTTTGAGTACTCCTTGCTATCAAGGATTTGTTTTCAGTACGAATAATGCCTTACATAATCCACAAAATATTTTTGAAATTCTGTGGCATTTATCTTCTTTAATAAAATAATCTATCATCTTTGTATTTATTGTTTTCTAAATGTCATGCTGTTGTGTACTTTGTATATGTAAGTATAGTTGAAGATTTTTCTGTTTAGAAACAGTTACCAGCTAATGCAAAGCATCACCGCCTGCTTAGAAGTTACAAAGTGGTATACTTATGAATTTCATTCCAGACAAGGCATAAATTCCTTAACTGAGACTTAATATTCCAATTTAAGTATGCAGTTACATTAGTCATAGTGGTGTAAGTTGAGTAAAATAATAAACTATGTATATTTTTATTATTTTTAAGGGAGAAAGTAAACATTGTCAAATTCCCCATATTTTTGCTTTTGTATATTTTAAATATTTTGTATATTATGAATGTTTTCTGAAATCACATAGAATCCTCTGAAAATTGAACAGGACATTCTTTACTCCTATCTCATCATATAAAAGTAGAAATAAAATGTGTCTTAAAATCTTAATTCAGAATTATTGGTTCTATTTTGGAGATTTAAAAATTTTTCTTATATTTTACTTTCAGCGAATACCTAAGAGGAAAAAGAGAAACTACTGATAAATCCTAGAAATTTCTCTATTGATTTTTCACAGAAACCATGGTAAAGGCTTAGAAATTTCAGTTCTATACTTAAACAGCTTAGCTTTTATGGAATATACGTTAAAAACAAATTCAGACACCTAAGGATGGGGATATAATAAAATTATCCATAGAAACAGGTGGTTTGTTGTTGCTGCTGCTATTTGTTTTTTGTACTTTGAAGTAGGGTTTTGAAAAGGAATATTTTGAATGTAAATCAGGGGTCATGGAAGCAAGAAGAATGAAAGTCTGATAACTGAGCATGCTGGAGTATGTTAATTCCCTTTTTAGTGATTTATGAAGGTAAAAGGAATGCTGGTTTTGGTGGGGACCACTCTTGTTCCCTATTATGGTTGTTTCATTAGAGCCTCCACATGCGGCTCAGTGGTCTATTCAGGAACGGAACAAGGCTTTTTAATTCGAACTCAAGGACCTTGTTTGGTAGGTCAGAAATCGTACTATGCAGCTCCTAATTAACAAGCCATTAGCCAGTCTGTTGTGAAATGCCTGTAATCTTGTCTAATTAAAATGCTATCAAGTTAATTCAGAAATGTGGGAAAACTTAATACTGGAATTTGCCTTCTGTTTTGTTTGTAAATCCAGTGTGGGGAGAAGGGACTCCGTCTTTAGAGAGATTTGATTAAGTTGACATGCGTTTACTGTGAATTGTTAGCAAAGCACAGTGGCTGCCAATGCTCTTGTTCCACTTTACAGGTTTGCTCTGTAGGAATTAAATCCTACAAAGACAAATCCTCTTCTATACCTTGCCATGCATATTTGATTAAGAGTTGCTAAGACTTTTTTTTCTCTTTAAAAAAAAAAAAAAAAAAAAACTAATCCTCTTCTATACCTTGCCATGCATATTTGAT